CGACCCTACATTTTACTGACAGTTGTGGAATCGACCCTACATTTTTTTTTTTTCTTTACGTGGAGGTAGGTCGACTCTATGTGATAAACAATTGGCAACCAAACGGTGCCTCTCCTTCTACATTCGACGGATAATGTGTACTGGTATTTAATGTAATTTCTTAGCAATTTGTTTTTGTAATTTATCCAAAGCGATATATTATGAAATTAAATTAATCACTCAATAAGTTTTAACGTTAGATTGTTTCCTCGATATGGCCATGGTGGTCATCAGTGACTGGAGTGCCTCGAATGTTTAGAATAATTAAAATAAAATAAATGTTGTCAACTAAAAATTTTGAACGTCATAGCTAGCTAGACATTATTTTCAATTGAAAAAAAAAATTATAAAGCATAATACTATAATCCTATGCTTAAAATGTATTTTCTTGTGGCCGTCTGACAGCAACCTGTAAATCTGCCGTGACAGTGAACGTGTTAATAAGTAAATGTCGTTCAAATTATATCGTGTTTGATATCATTTTCTTCAGAAAAATCTCATCAACATGTTAAAAAAAATTCCAGATGAAAAAAAGTAAAATTAAAGAAATTATATTTTTCTATTATGATTTGTCGAGCCGTGTAATCTCGTAAAGGAAACCGACTGGTGTAGCGTTACACGCTTGACTGACTGCGAGCGAGATAACATGGGCGCAGCAATGACGCAGACCTAGGCTTAGGACCATCTGTACTGCCACTTGTAGAATCCAAACTTAATGACTCTTGTAGAGAATTTACTGTATTGCGTTGAAGGTACGCACATCGGCTCGTTTTTAAACTTTGATGGCCATTTAGAACCATCCAAAACCACAAAGTTTAATATCTGTATATACTAATATATTCAGGACACTCTCCTCTATCTTTTAAGGCTAAATGGAACTTCTTAGTGTTTTGAGTTTTCACGCAATACCTCACTTTTGTCCAAAATAGTGTGTTTTTACATAAATCCATATTTTTCAAAAACTGAGGGTGATAGAGCAATTCTGCTTGCGGATTCGTGTTTGGGGCGAGAATCTCTATAAGGATCACCCAATGGATATTGCAGATTTTTCTGAAGGTCAAAATTTGTTGGATAGTGTTATCAAGTAATCACTTGTTTTGAGAAATTGCTAATGGCTCATTTTGACCCGGCTGATGTTTCTAGTGTTAATAAAATTAGTGGAAAGTGATTTTTAATTGTGTGCTTTAATTTTAAGCTTGATATTTTATTTGTCACAAAACAAAGTCAAAACACACTTAGGCTGATTTTGCATCCAGCACGACGCGCAAAGCGGTGAAAACCGAGAACGCATTTGACAGGTACTGAAATGTTATTTTGTTATCCTAATGTTATCAATTTTCTATCTACGTACAGTAATTTATCTTACCGAGCAATAATAACGAAGAGAAAGCTCCGGCACGATGCAACTAACTGACAGAATTACCGGTTCTTGGTGTACCAATATGTATAATACATTTTTCTGCATTTCCAATGTTTGTCCGTACCACGTTAAATCATACACACTTTGTGAAACCTTTGCACTCTAATAATCACGGAAGATCAATTATATTCAACAAAATAAATAATTTATAGAATAAAGGTAAATCATAAAATACGATTTACCATGTCTTTCATGTAGTCAGCTGACCATGCGTACATATAAATTTCTGCGAGTACAGTGAAGCTTACAGTTACGAATTGCACTTTCACAATTAACGGTATTTCCTGTTCGATTGACGTTTCATCAATTTATTACATTACACACAAAATTTCCAAATTTTACTCACCATTATTAATGTAATACTACTTAGAGTAAGAGCCAAAATGCTCATTGCTATAGCGTTGAGTACTATAAGCCGAAAACCGTCAACCACTTCTTTGGCGTACCTAAAAATTATGGCAAACAATCAGTTACGATAAAGTAATCATAAATTGCAAAATCTTCTTATCACCTCCTCAGTAGTAGCTGTTTCTTAACACAGATGATTAACATATGAATACTTGAACTTTGTTGAACCTCCAGAGTTAAGCAATGAAATCTCGCAGCCGTAATCCAGAGTAAAAGAGCTCCGAAAATGCTTACACATATGTGTGCACTGTACTGAAAGCTTATGAAAGATTGGTGCAGGTAGACAATAGCATTCATGGGTGTACGATTAACGCGAAACGGATACTCTGCACTGCTGGGAAAAGGATTTGGTAGAACAACGGGTCCTAATACGAAACAAGTTGCACAGAGGTATGTCCAAATTAACGAACCACCGTAAAAAAGTTTGCATTTTTGGATATAGTTGTGGAGAATTTCCCTTTCGAATTGCTGCGCCTCTTTGACGTACGTGATCATTTCTGTAATTATTCGCTGTAAAGAACCATAAGTGCTGTTGGAATTCACCGATAAGACGCGCACACACGCTTCTTACGGCACGTAAGCGGGGAGCGTTTTTGACCTGGGGTTTATTGCACCCCTTGTTGGCTCGAGCAAGCAAGAGAAATAGTATCGTCGCGCAAATACGCACCCACGCTTAGGGTCGCCACAAGAGTTTTCGATGCAGTGTCTTTTCGACAGTTAACTTCACGATGATATTTATTGGATGATTGGAAAAATTCGTGGCCGATTTTCGGAGGTTGCGGAAACCTTGTCACAGTTTGGCACAGATGTTTGTTTTAGCGTCATGTTACATTCCTATCGAAAGATACACCGCTTGTGTTTTATTTTCAGATAATTGTTCATTTTATTTTCAAATGAAATGTGCCTTTGCACACACCGCTTATGTTTTATTTTCAAATCGGGCACGAACTTTTGCAATCATCTAGTATTATTCAATATTAACTGCCTATTGACTAGACTCTACCGTATTTAGCAATGAACAACCAATCGAAATCACGTATTGTCTTTCTTCAAATATACAAAAGTCCAGCAAAGACACAAATTTTCTCCTCGAAATTCTAAGATGAAACATTTGAGAACTTACCTGCAGAAGGTCGTAGTTGGTGAAACATATGACAGTCTGCATAATCATTTGAAAAACACCCATCGACAAGCAGATGCTCTGAGAAAGAACAATGACATCGTCGAAGTGCAAGTAAGTTGAGTACAACAGTGGTAAGAGTAAAATGAGTGCGCTGATCGCGCTGCAAATTTGTAAAATTTTAAAAGCAACGACTTGAGCTTTACTAGCAGAGCTAGAAAGTGGCCAACAGACTGCCAGAGCCACGCTAAACCAAATGATGTCGATGACTTTCTCCGGTGTCAGTTGTTTCAACATAATTACGCGAGTTGGATTACTTTGCACTGCACTTTCTTGAAAAGTACGATACAATTGAAAAGCTTAGGAAGTAGCTGAGAATTCAAAGACGTTACCACGATAAAATTACTTCCCACGCCGTAGGCAATTTAATAAATCATACTTAACGTGGCGTTTAAAATCAACGTAGCGCTTTTCTTCGGACCATGTTTTACGCAACTGGCACGGTAGCAATTATTGACTGTATTATACAAGGGTTAAGCGTGCGGTATTGGAATCATTGGAAAAGAACGCTTGCTTTATATTAGATAAGTCGTACATTTTATCGATGTATTTAGATACATAGGTATATAGTCTCTATATACTTTCGACAGCAGTTTCGCTTTCGACCATGATACGCAACGCAGTGAAGTAAGATAAAGACTTGTATAGATACTGGAAATGAAGAAAGAAGAAACTAGTATTAGAAAAGAAAAACATAACTCCATCGAAATCAAACATCTTTATTTCAAATAATTCCCACGATGTTCCATACACTTGTTAACGTATTACAGCAGCGTTAATTCTGCTTGTATAAAAATCCGAATCTCTAACAGGAAGCAAGAAACTGCTGAAAGGTGTGCTATTTCCTAAATTTTTCTTGTGTACGGAAATTCTCAAGTGAGGGGAAAAAGTGAAAATCGGGGGATGAGATAGAGCTTTGTTAGATCTTTAACCCTTTGTACTCGGAGATCATTTTGCTATAGCAAAAGTTTGCAAATGGGATATTTGAAATTTTCTAAAATTAACGTCAAAACAAACCATACTATTTTACTTAAATATTCAATGTATTCTGTATTTCACTGTGGTGAAGAAATTTATAGAGGTCTCACAAATCTGCTGTCCGATTTGATCAAGTATTTACCAAGTGACAATTACTTAATGTCGCTACTCAGTCGCCACTCGATCGCAAAGAGTTAATAGTTTATTTATTGCAGAGTTGATATTAATATATGAAAATGTATTGACGCTATACATTCCCAGAGATGTCAATAACCAACTGCAAACTGAACAAAGGAAAAAAAGGAAGAACCGATCGCTCACACATGCAAGTACATCACCCAGCCACAGTCGATCACATGAATGTACGTGGTACGCGAGAATACTTAAGACTAAAAGAACAATCAAACGAATAGTCAAAATCATAGCGGTCTAATTAATAGTTTATTTATTGCAGAGTTGATATTAATATATGAAAATGTATTGACGCTATACATTCCCAGAGATGTCAACAACCAACTGCAAACTGAACAAAGGAAAAAAAGGAAGAACCGATCGCTCACACATGCAAGTACATCACCCAGTCACAGTCGATCACATGAATGTACGCGGTACGCGAGAATACTTAAGACTAAAAGAACAATCAAACGAATAGTCAAAATCATAGCGGTCTAAATATCTTTTTCCAATAAACTTCAATGCCCAGTTGATGCAATTTTTGTGCAGTTGCACTTTTGCTACATATAGTCTGGCGTAGTTATGCAAACGGTTAGGGCCTTTTCTGTCGACCAGAGCTGTTTGCTGTACTTTTAGTTTCGTTGCTATGCAACTCTGCAGTGATAGTGGAACTCCGGGCTTAAGAAACTTTGGTGAATTAATCAGTGAGTAGACCAGCAGACTACTCGCACGATTATTTTCGGGTGTAAACTATTTACAATTTTGGATCAGAGAGATTCATTTTCGTCTTTCTTTTTCATAGAGATTCGGATTTTTAAGTAGGCCGAATTAATGCTCCTGTAACACGTTGACAAAAGTGTTTCGAACATTATGGAAATTATTTTAAATAAAAATGTTTCATTTCAGCGGAGTTACTGTTTCCTCAAGATAGTCTAATAATTGTGAGATTAGAAGAAAAAGTGCAACAAAAGTAGTACCTACCATTGCATAGTATGGCAGGGATAGTTTTGGAACTATGCCATTAATTCGAATAGCTTCGAGCCTCTGAGACCTTTGTATAATATAGTATACCTTTTTTTGCAATCTAATATCCTTTTCGAACCAATCTGTGTTGTAAATATCTGCCGCAAGCTTCGTACTCTACGGCGAAGTTAAAGTTAACATTTCATTGTTTAAAATGGATTATTGTGATCGTTTAATTACCATACGCATCAAATTATCCGCAGGCCAAGCGTACATGAAGAGCTCCACGCTGGCGCTGAATACTACGACCGCGTATAAAGCTTTCAAAAGCAATGGTTGATTCTATTTCGAAAAAATGTCAATTTTATACTTTTCAAATTCACGTTTAATCTTGATATATCATGAAAGGACTACTTACAGCGATTAAATTCAAGCTACCAAAAATTACGGCCACGGTAGTAGTCGCAATAGTGGTCAAAATTAGGAACTTGATAGATTGTCGAATTGTTTTCGTATACCTAAATGTTCAAGTGCATTGGATTATGTACATTTATACAAAAATGTTAATAGTTAATGTAGAAATAATGCATATTCAACGAAAATCACCGCATCTTCCTTTAACATATACCGATATAACGATAAAGTTAAATACAGATTACACTTAGAAGAACAATGAAATTTTTAATGAAAATTATTTGATAAAATAGGCAAAACGGGGCCCTTTAAAATGCATTTTGTTTCAAGTCGATATCTTCATTGGTTCCGGAGATACGGGACTCTAAAGGAAACTATTAAAATCGGGGGGAGTTATGAATGATTCTTAGAAATTCGTGTGACCTACATTTTTTCCTGGAAACGCTTACGCGCGAGTAGTAGTAGCGAAAAAAACTATTATGCAACGCCTGCCAGTGACCGGCGAACACGTGCGAGGCGTAAGGCGAAACAATGTAAACAAGTGAGAGTGAGAGGTCCGAGTCGCGCGACAACGAGAGAGATAGTAAACTACTAAAAATTACGGTTCCCTTTGCACCGCGATATCTCGGGAACGAGTAGAGATATCGACGTGAAACAAAGTGCGTTTTACAGAGGAACGTTCGCCGCTTCTAACAAGGGTAAACTCGTGTAAATAACTTGGTGCACTTCGGAGAAATAATTATCCAAAGTTTTGATAAATTTAATGCACGTTACGGATGTTTTTAAGAAATTTTTGCGGCGAAAAAATATTTCTTTAACGTAATATTACTTTTGATGATGCTGTTAACATCCCTCTATGTATCATATGTATATGCACAAGGCGAGTCATATAATTTCTTCATTCCGAATAATTTCTAAACGTGTTCTACAAGAAAGTGTTTTATATAGAAATTTCATAGTGTCAAATGAAATGTATGAAACTACATTATTAAATAACCCATTTGTTTACGAGATATCAAGGTGAGTTTGAATTTTCTAAACGAAGTACTTTATTTGGTATGAATCGTTCAAGGTCTCGCTATTTATCTTACTTAAAGTAGATGCTCAAAGTGATACTCGCTAACTTCCATTCACCTGTGCATTCCGTTAAGTAAAGATAACACTTCGATAATGTGCAGTGTAAATAATACTTCAAAGTAATGATAACAATTGAACTATCTCTGTAGTAAATGTTGCACAGGTTTCAACAATTCGGTTTTTCGTGTCTTTCACTCTTATTGGCGAGTCACAATAAACTGTGAACCAATTTTTAAGATTAATACTTCCTTGTAGAAAATTCACTATTCTTTTCGATTTTGTTACACAGGTAAAGGTACATATTCCATTTAAAAAATTCAAGCTCACCTTAATATCTCGTAGACAAATACGTTATTTAGAGAAAAACAGCTTCAGTATCATACATATTCTTTTCAATATTTTTCTATTTCTGTATAGAACACCGTTTTATAGAACACATTTTAAAGAGGTGAACAAATTACGCGACTCACCCCTGTACACGATATATCGAAATAAAATGGAAATAACCTGAGAAGTTCACTGTGCTTCTCTATGCAGGCATTGAATTCACAGTGAGTATTTGCATTTCGCATCTCGTTTCCCAATAGCTCGAACCTGGCAGCCGCGTATCGCAGAAGAAGAGCAATTTGAGTGTCGATGGCCATACCAGCGGACGCCTGAAAACCAACTAACGACTGATGGAAATAAATAACAATCTTGAACAGTGTATGTTCCACTTGGAAAGGATATATCGCATGAGTGGGGAACGTCTGTGGTGAGTACAATGGACCACTTATGACGAAGATGGTCGTGAGGAAGCACCATAATATATAAATCCCATGAAAGTATTTGTATCTGTCCACGTATCGTTGCAGGACAACTTTTTCCTTCGAGGTGGCGTATCTGCAGAAATTCTCCATGTCGAAGTACAATACCTGCGAAGCATTGTTTTTCACCGGTGACAGTTCAATTAAAATGTTTAACAGAAATGTTTCTATCGAAATCACGGTCGACTTACCTGGAATTGCTTCTGCTGGAAACGGCACATTATCATTTTGATTGCCACCTGGGCGACAGCCGAGGCGAGGCTGACTGTTTTCCCAAGAATGATGGGGTCTTTACGGTACTCGTAAATTCCGCTCAATAGCGGCAAAAGCAGCGCGATGGTGCTAACGAATGCTGTGCTCCACAACGTATTAAAGAGCAAAACTTGAGTTCTGGTCGCCAGAGGTGACGGTGGCCACGAACAAGTTACAGCGACGCTCAGTTTCGTGAACGAGATCGCTTGTTCCGGCGTTATACTTTTCCTCATCTCCGCTGTTGACTTCTAGAAAAATTCTCGATACGATCGTATTACCGCCGCTTCTGGGTAGAGTATTGCTTTCCTCGTGGAAGTCAAAGGTTCGCGAAGGGTGAAAATACCAGGAATATTACACGAAGGGATGTTACGATCGAAACAGCATGTACACATTCCGTTCTGTTGCAATTTTAATTGAAACCCGTACGACTTTCGAAACAAGCCAAAATCTGATGGAAGAATGAACTAATAGCGTTGAAGGTTTTCATTGCTTTGAAATTGTGTATCGTGCTCTTGTTTGCGCTGTATCGAACGCGAGATCAAATTAATAAATAACGCGCAACCCGTGCGCTATGTAATCAGGATTCATCGGTGGATGTAATTATTTCTGTACTTCGTGAGAATATCGCGTGTTCTTTCACTATGTAGTATTCATACAACCTCGCCCCGTTTGCTGCACCGTGCTTGTTTCAATTTTCCTGGGGAAATGGTGTAGATATTCAAGTGGAAAGTGTTGTGTAGTGTACTTATGTATAAGTGGCGTGGTATGAAGGATAAACGTGGATGATGGAGTATATGGATTACGTATTTACGAAGCTTTTGCATTTTTGGTAAGATCTTTTCGAAATTGTTGCAATAGATTGCTTTAATTACGGATTTTATAGGAGGATCTCACAGGAGATTTTCACGAGAAGCACGTGCATATTGCATCGGCAATACTTTATCAGGTATATATAAGGAATTGGCAAATCAGAGCTTGTTTGCTCCATAAAATGAATGAAATTTTCTTGAATCTAACATAGATATAAACCATGCATATATTAACGAATATAACTATTTTACTTCAATATGTAATGTATTTTTGTTGTACAAGATCTTGTAACACTTCGTTAGAAGTTGGTTCTATCGAACTATCAGTGAACGATTTATGGTGGTCCACAGACCTGCTGTTCTGGAACATATCAGCTCCGTTAATTATTCACCAAATTGTGAATACAATAGTAATGTCTCTTCTCAGTCGCCTCTCGAGTGCAAAGGGTTAACAAATGAAAAATTTGTAAATCTCTGTGTGTAAAACGAAAGAGGCTCGTCACCTCTCGTATTAAGTTGGGGGACTTAAAATCCAGCAGAAATTAATGTACACTATTGTTGAAAAGCTTAATCGCATCAGTTAAAATGCAATAAAACGGAAAGTAACTGTAGGAGAAACGTTAATTAAGCGAGAATAAATAACTTCACTGTGTCGAGTTCGACATAAAACTTTGAATTTGACGAACGAAATTAGAATTTCGTCCACTTGAACGAAACGAATTCATATAAATTGAATTACACGTCGCACTTTTGTATCGCGCGATTAACCCTAACGGGGAGTCTCCGGGTCTTTTTCCACCCGTCACCTTCTTACTTTTTTAAGTACCTTTGGTGTTATCAATTTTACGTTTCCTTAACATCGTATTAAAAGTTTATTGTCCAGGTTCATGGTAAGAAAAATTGTTACGCATAAAGTCTTTCAGTCTTTTTTCACCTGGAAACCTTAAGTGTAGGTATAGTCGTACAGAAGAATGCGCTAGGGTTAAATTTATGAGCGGTAGTGTAAATACGATATTTTAATTTTACGAGAACTACAAATATTACAGTCTGGATAGATCGTCACGGAATATTTATAAAGAGACGGAAAACAAGGCAGTCTGAAATAGATATTGGATGGAAGAAGAACAGAGAGAATGCATTTTATGTAAGGAAGGAAGTCTAAAGCATTGGATAGAAGAATGTAGAGGAGTTGAGGATAAAAGTATAAGATTGAAGGAAACGGTGGAAGGTTGAAGTAATAGAACGGTTAAGGAAACTGAAGGGGAAGAAGGAGGCAGAAGTAAGACAGGCGTGGAGGGTGAATAGTGTTCTAGAGTACAAGAAAGTACCAAAGAGAGGGGATATATAGGCGAAATAGAAAAAAGTGCTATACATTAGAGTAGAGAGCGTAGAACGTATGGATGAAAATGAAAAGCTACTGTAAGCTAATTTCATTTTGTAGCCGGCAAGCAAGAAATTAATATAAATATATACATACATTTATAAAATTATTATTATAAAAAAATATATACAGTAAATTCTCCACAAGTGTCAGTCCGCAAGGAACCTAAACCTGACACTTGTAGAGTCAGGGACTACGTTTTCGAGCCTCGCGCCCACCTTTGTAGTTTGCCGAATGTAGACAAGGACAGCGAATAAAATAAGGATGAAACGTGAGTCGAGGCAACCAAGCGATTTAAATACCAACTTTTTTAATTTTGCTTTTTTTCATCTGGAATTTTTTTTATCATATTGATGAGATTTTTCTGATGAAAATGACATCAAACACGACATTATTTGAACAACATTTACTTATTAACACGTTCACTGTCTGGCGTGACAGTGAATAAGTAAATGTTGTTGAAATTATATCGTGTTTGATATCATTTTCATCAGAAAAATCTCAGCAACATATTAAAACAAATTTCAGATGAAAAAAAGTAAAATTAAAGAAATTATATTTTTCTATTATGAATTGT